ATGCTGGCTGGCAGCTGCTTCCAAGCTTCCAAGCTTGACAGCAGCAACCAACAGCTGGGCAGTGCTCGCTTCCACTTCGCCAGATGAGCTTCAATTAGCGTGTGTCTAGATGCCAAGCGAGCGTGGCCAGAAAGAAGCAGAGCCCGCATTTAGCTGAGTGCTGGCTCTGGGACTGCAATTGGCGATGTTGTTGTTGCTGTTGATGACGATGGCATTGCGTGCCGCCCAGACAACAAACAGCGCCACTGATTGCCAGTCTCTGCCTCTGTCACTGCCTGGTTGATTACCTTATGCGTTAGCCAAGGTTCAAAGAGAGTTCTGGGAAATGTTACAACGTCAACCGGCGACTGCAATTTACATAGATTTTCCCAGTGCTGCACTGAGGCAAGCTGCTCGCACGACCCGCTCCGCTCATTTGCAGCTGCTTATGGGCCATGGCAGAGTGGACGTGTTTGTAACTACCATAAATCAAGTGCTCAGGAGCGCGCATGCGCCATACTTAGCGCTATTAAAACGTCACGGAAGTCGGAGCGTGATCAGTGAACGGCAACCAGAATGGCCTGGGCTGGCAGCATGGGAACGCTTCAGCAGTGCATTTAATGTGAGGGCGCTACCTGGAAAGGAGAGCACTCAAGCATCCCAGCACTACTCGGCTATAGCTGCAGTTTCCACACTTCCTCCAAACTCCACAGCAGCGGTTCTACTCGTACTTATAAACATAGTACTAATTACAAGCTATTATTCTGTTCACTTCAACAATAGGCCCGTCTTCAACCTGGCTTGAATGCCATAAAACAAAATGTAGTTGCATATGGACCTTCTTGCTTAAATTGTTCATAGTTATATATTTATGGACCTCCTTGCTTAAATTATCCATAGCTATTCTTAACCATATATTTACTGATACCTATATATTCGAATATTTCCTCGATCGTATACTTATTAGGCACATGTTTGAGTTAGAAATAAAAAGTTAATTACTTTTAAAAACTAAATTAAAAAAGTCTCTTAATATGTATATATATTTTTTTCAAAGGCATATAAGGGAAGGAGATCTTTCTTAATGTTGATGAAAAGGAGTCCCACTATGCGAGTTCGTTCCTGACTATATGACTGGGTTCCCATCACGGCGCCTATCATTATCGCATAAAGTATGATTTCAAAATTACTTGCAGTTAAAAAATTCTGTAAGAGTGATGTCTTATTTAAAAAATCTCAAACTCTGCAGCATAAAAAAAAAATTTTTTTTAATAAAAAAAATAAACACACTGAGAAAGCCACTTCAGAGAGCGCATAGGAAATGTAGAAGTACATAGGATATGCAGAGCGCCATGAGGGCAGTGAGAAGAGGACTCTACTTCATCGTTTCGAAATCGTCTGCAAGAACTTAGTCCTGCCTTTGATGCAGTGGAAATCCCTACAAAGCTTGTGCCTTTAGAAGATTATATATTGGTGCTAGAAATCATCGCCAGTTGCTTGCTAAAAATCTATATTTCAGTCTCAATGAGAGAATGCGTAGATCTTTTGCGTATTTTTAAATATTTTGCTTTCAGATTCATAAATTAGTTGATCTCTCATTTTTTTTTTTTTTTGGTAAATTTTAATGTTGTAATACTTATACATATTTACCTTCTATTTTTAGCTTCTACAAGTATTTATTTGGTGAATGATTTTAAATAACTTTTAAAAAAACTTCAAATTTGAAACGAAAGCTGTGAGGTAAGTTTTGGTGCAGGCTTGCTTAAAGTCAGATTATAGAAGATATTGCTATATGATGTGTAAAAGATTTATTACAGATGCTTTTCTTGACATGTATGAATGATGCCTGATTGCATATTAAATAATATTTATAAGTTAATTCAGGGTTAAACGAGTCATGTATTGGAATAACCTTGGTGTATGGCTCGACTCAATTGCGGATTGAAATTTTAATGGAAAACCGATTGAAGAAATGTATAGACACTATTCGGGAAGTATAGTGAAATGTTGAAGCATTCGGCGCGTTCAGCAGGTCGTAGCGATTTGCGATTTGTGATTTTGGATTTTCGATTGTTGATTTGCCTCTGCGGACCGCTTGTGATGACTGTTTTAATAAAACATTCTGATTTGAGTATTTTTGGTCAAAAAGTCACAGCAAAGGTCTCGACAAAATTCTGACTATGTACTGTCAAAATCGAAAAATCGAAATCTAGTAATCATAATATTTTTCCGATTTGTGTTTTGTGTTTTCGATTTGAAGTTTTACTTATCCGAATCACAAATCGCAGCGGTCAGCAGGGGAAATCAATAATGATCGATCACAAATGGCAAATATAACAAAGTTGTTGGAAAATAAATATGTTGGTTCATTCTTAGTTTTACATTCAAAGCGTGATATTTAAATTTAATTTACTTTCGGTCTATAATGCTAAATTTGCATTAATAAGGACCATTTACGCTTGTTAGTTTAACTTGTCAAAAATTCAATCGTAAAAGCTGAACTATCTGAGTTAAACCGACGCTCTACCTAGCAGCGACCTTAAATTGAATCATAATGCTGTGGACCTCTTGCCTGCCCCTTGTGGCATACATAAGGCTTCTACTGGCCCAAGTTCGTTTCATGCTAGAAACTTGGCTGGCTACGTAGCTGGAATTCATCTGCGAGTCGCATTGTAATTTAAACTACTGGATTGGCCCGAGAGCAGTTAATAAATTTATTTGCAGCAAATGCCTGTGGCTTGTGTAAACTATTAGGCAGTGTGTATATTTCTTATAGGGCTCTTTGCTGTCTTTTTATAGCCTGTACCCAAAGGGTGAAAGGCTATACTAGTTTTGTGCGCATGTATGTACACACAGAAGGAGGCGTGGCAGACCCCACAAAGTATATATATTCTTAATCAGGATGAGAAGACGAGTCGATATAGCCATGTCCGTCTGTCCGTATGAGCGCAAGGATCTCAGTAAGTACAAGAGCTAGGATAACCAAAATTGGTATCAAGGTTCCTATAAGCCCTAGGCAGAACGAGTTTGTTTATTTTTTCTTATACACCCCCCCACTCCCCCGCAATTCGTATTTTTTCTTATAACTTCCGTAATTCTCGGAATTTAAAAATCAGGTAGGTACATACAGTTAGTACTAATGTGTCCGTGTGCTAAATTTCATAATGATAGGTCAATTCTGAAGAAAGTTATAGCCATAAGTAAAATCGCTGCTCATGCGCTGCCTCTGTCGGCAGCGCTGCCCGCAGCTGTTGTTGTTGTTGCTGCTTTGGTTTAACTTTGTGCTGCATACATACACGCATAGGTACGTGATGTAAATGTATGCTGTTTAAACTGAACATAAACATGTATTCTAATTTAATTTAATTAATTATTTTAATAAATTAATTCATTAATTTTTTTAAATTTTTTTTAAATTTTTTTTTATTTTTTTTATAGCCTGTACCCAAAGGGTGAAAGGCTATACTAGTTTTGTGCGCATGTATGTAACACACAGAAGGAGGCGTGGCAGACCCCACAAAGTATATATATTCTTGATCAGGATGAGAAGACGAGTCGATATAGCCATGTCCGTCTGTCCGTCTGACCGTCTGTCCGTCTGTCCGTCTGTCCGTCTGTCTGTATGAGCGCAAGGATCTCAGTAAGTACAAGAGCTAGGATAACCAAAATTGGTATCAAGGTTCCTATAAGCCCTAGGCAGAACGAGTTTGTTTATTTTTTCTGATACACCCCCCCACTCCCCCGCAATTCGTATTTTTTCTTATAACTTCCGTAATTCTCGGAATTTAAAAATCAATTTTGGTAGGTACATCCAGTTAGTACTAATGTGTCCGTGTGCCAAATTTCATCATGATAGGTCAATTCTGAAGAAAGTTATAGCCATAAGTAAAATCGCTGCTCATGCGCTGCCTGCAGCTCTGTCGGCAGCGCTGCCCGCAGCTGTTGTTGTCGCTGCTTTTGTTCAACTTTGTGCTGCATACATACACGCATATAAACACGCATAGGTACGTGATGTAAATGTGTGCTGTTAAAACTGAACATAAACATGTATTCTAATTTAATTTAATTAATTATTTTAATTAATTAATTCATTCATTTTTTTTAATAATTTATTTTTTTTAAATTTTTTTTTTTTTTAATTTTTCCTTTTTGTGGAGAGTACAGGCTATTTTACTGTCGGGCTTGCTCGACTGTAGCGTTCTATCTTGTTTATTTTTCCTTTTTGTGGAGAGTACAGGCTATTTTACTGTCGGGCTTGCTCGACTGTAGCGTTCTATTTTGTTTTAATTATACAACTATAGCCAGTCGGCGAACATTTGAGCAATTCTCAATCATAATCTAGTCAAGTTTAAAAGTTTAAAGTGAGCTGCGATACAAAGCTTTCAATAACAACAAAGGCACACTTTCAAAATCTCGCACTTGAGCAGATATTGGTGTGGAGTTGGAGGCTATCGTGACCCTTCTGCATGTCAAGAAATCATAATTCCCATGCATTTCTCGTTCATCAATCGCTGTGGGGCGCCTTGACGTTGTGCCGGCACGTAAGCCGGGGTTCAAAGGTGTTCGTCCAAAGTTTCCAGAGTTTGCATGGCATGGCGGCAATTTTACACACGCCACTCACAAATTTGGCTAGAACGGTGGTGGTGCTGCACTTTTTGCACCTTCTCCACTACACACACGAACTGGGTTAACAAATAACATAGACTGGGCCTTCGAATTTTCCGGCCCGCAGCAGGTTAGTTGCATTTTGTGAGATTTGACAATGATTTGACAATGATGGTGATGAAGATGATGATGATGGTTACATGGACGTGGTTCTACACTGGCTGATTGTCTGTAGTGGACGGGCAGTCTATGTGGTTACCCAGGAGCTTACAATTAGCTAAATGGGAGTGGCTAGATACGGGCATGTGTGTCAATGACTACGATCGTGTTTGTAAGCAGGACCAACACCACAGGGCATCTAAACCGACTACAGCCATCAGGGCCAAACGAGGATGTCAATTATTGACTGCACTTACCTTATCGCTGCGCTCCAGACTCAAAGTCCCACCACTGCTGCCGGTGTCCTGCTCCAGCGAGCGCGTCTGATGCACCAACTGTATCTTGCCCTGCGATATTTGTATGTAATTGGCCGGCGGCATAATGTCATGGACATCATCCTTGTCGTCATCGTCGCAATCCTTCTCATTTTTACTGCAATGACACGGAGTCGGAGAGGGAAGATAGAGATAGAGATAAAGATTAGCGCCATCAAAAAATAAACACATGGTCGTGGTTGCTTATGCTAATTTGTGGTTGCCGCCGGCACCGCCGCCACCGCGTCTAGCACAAAAAGTTGCACGACCAGCTTGCGTCAATGACAACGTTAACAGACGTTGATGGGAAAGACGCACATAAAAGCGATGCAATGGAGAAGTAAAAATGTATTTATATTATGGCCCGAATAGTGCGACTGACAGAGACGTCAGAGACGTTTCAAAACAACGATGTTGGCCAAACAGCTGGACGGCCAAGCCCACTAAACTCTGAAGCTGCTAATCTGGCGCTCAACTCGAATCAAATTCCACTCAATGGCAGTGTTGCAACATGCTTAGCAACAACAACAACAACAACAGCAGTCAGTACACACACTCACACACACATACACACACCTTTTCTTAAGCATTTGCTCTGCAAGTGCCACAATAAGCACAGCTCCATACATTGTAATCCAATAACAAGACAACGGCTGCGATCTTGGCCCGGCCCGCAGCTCCCAAAGACTGCCCGCTGCTGGCTGGCCTGTTTGCCACGGCAGACACATTCACTCGTACTTATGTGCATTAATGGGTTTTTCCATTTTCCGAGTCTAGTGCTGCCACCTTGCGGCCATATTGACACGACCCAATAAAGTCGACAAAGATATCAATTGAGTTTTTGCGTTTCAGTGAGAGCGATTGTATGTTTGTACTTTACTTTGTACTGCGAATGGTTTTTTTTTTCCAACTTCTATGGGTCTTACATATTGTTAGTTTTAATTTGAAATGCGCCCTACAATAAGCAGATAATTGATTGGTAAAATTTTGTATTTTCGTTAATTTTCACATACAGCCCTAAAAACCGCCCGGAACGTGCGAAATAGTAGCTTTGGAAAACAGTGGTAAGCTGTATTCAGATAGCTTTCACACAAATTAACAAGTTCGACATTATATTGTTTGTCTTAATTAACGTTCAGAACAATTGGTGGTTGCACGGAGTTTGTGTTATTAAGATTACGATTTTTATTTATTATTGCGTGTGGTATCTAAAAAAGAGCGCTTAAAGAATGGAATGCTCCGTAACCTCTTTAATACTCCGTAACCAATCATAAGAACAAATATTGCACAAACTTGATCTACCTAGAACAATATACTTAGGCAATGTGAATAACAGGTCTCGTTATTATACCTCCTATACTTTTCTTGCGTTCACATAGACGGATGGACAGACCTAAATATATGGATTTGTCTTGCATTACTGATTAGGAATAAGATCTACTTGTATTATATGAATATAACAGTATAATATCCGAAATCATTTGGATGACATTAATATTTGTACGCGCAGTATTTCTATGAAGGCACGATTTATTTATAGGCCATCATTTAAATGAACTTTCGGACTTAAATTGTATGATATTTTAGTTTAAATATTATACCTCTTCACCCTCATGAATATTACAGTATAATATCCGAAATTTATTTGGATGACATTAATATTTGTGCGCGCAGTATTTCTGCGAAGGAACGATTTATTTATAAGCCATCTTTCGGGCTTAAGTTTTATGAAATCCTAATTGAAATACAGCTAATTCTGTTTCTACACGGTAGATTGGTTACTGAAAAACCGTGTAAAAAAGTACATTGATCATATGCAAAATTAGGGGACTGGTTCCTAATCTCTAAAACCTATTAAAATAAGTGAAAAAACCTGGATTTATCTTTATTTTATTAAATCACATATACAAGTAGTATAGTATAATGAGCATAACGACCCTTATAAGAATGGTTTCAAGCTGTTTGTGTTTTAATTAATTGATTTTGTGTTATTTTAAATCGTGCTAATGGAATAAAGTCGTATAACAATATATACAATTTAAAATTTTCTAACCGTGTTAAATCAAAACCGCCTATAAAAAGAACGTGTAAAAACAGAATTGGGTGAATAGTTTATATATTGTCCTAGTAAGTGAATTTAACTGTGTTTTTTATTCGGTCAAGTGCTAATATACAAGGTGTGTTCCAAAGTAAACAGCACCTTTTGAATCTAGCATATTATGTATTGTATATTAGCATTAAATGCACTACTCTATGTTTTTGATTTGAATATGACGTTGGGGTAGCGTGTTTATATTTCCACATTAGCCAAATATCTGAAGCACAAACAGCAACACACACACACACATAAAAAGCTCGCTCGTTATTTCAAATTGAATTTGCGAGTTAAGTGCAAATAATTCGATAAAATTGGCACTTGGAGGCATTCGAGTGGGCAAACACCGAAGACAACGACAACGACAACAACACCGACTCCGACTCCGAGCCCGTCGCGTTGGCCAAATGCATTCGTGCGTCCATTCAACTGCTGGCTGTCGCTCGGGCCAGTCTATCTGTTCATCTGTCCAGCAATTGGCAATCCAGTTTATCAAACACTAACTCTTTTCTCGCGCACTGTGCCGCAACTGCAAATCGAGTTACAAAACTCCGGCCGACCAGCAAAAAACTAAACAATCTTACAAGCTAATCGCACAAAATGTTTCGTTTCGTGTTTGATGCTGTCGCTGGAGTTGAAGTTGACACCAAGTGGGTAGCAGTTCGGGTTGTTGCGGTTTCCATCTACTTCTCGCATCTACTATTGCGCATATTTCTACTATATACTTGTAGTACTTGTACGGATTCTTGTCAGCCCACGTTACAGAATTTGCAAATGTCCGAGCGTGTCGTGCGTTGCTTCCAAAAACCTCTGATTTATAGGCATCGTATAAAGCAATCAAAATCAATTTAACTGTTATCAGAGCTCGCAAATGGTAATTAAAAGTGCGCCTCATGTTGCGTGCCTTCCGCGTTCTGCAGCCAGCAGCCAGCAGCCACCAGCCTGCAGCTTGCAGCTATGAGTAGCCGATTCGGGGTCGGACTCCGACTCGGACTCGGTCTGGGGGGCACTTTGCACACCCATGACATATGATTCAGTGGGCCTGGTGCTCCCGACTGCCTAGATGCAAACTTAATTAGCGCGACGTCGCTCATTGCCGTCGATAGCAAGTCAAAAGGCCAACTAATGACATTACAGGGCTTTAATTAACACGCACACCCAGAGACAAACATACACTCAGAGAAAAAGGTATATACAACAAGAAATGCTTCTCAAACCGGATCGCAACAGATTAAGGCAGTATTTGCGCAGTGCTGAAGCTGGGATTTTCCAAAAGTTATGAATACATTTTTGCTTTCTTTGCAATTTATTGTCAATTATCTGAGCATAAATATCCTTGCAGAATTAATGCAGTTCGTCATAATAGCCTATATCTCTTATAATGATAGACACATGCCGATCCCTAGTATTTAAAATGTAAAGTAGCTGAATTAATGATTAATGAACAAAGTACAAAAGCTAGCAATTTTAATTTTGACCTACTTATTTGCTTTTCTACAACACAAGTGTAGAATTTGTTTTTTAAAATTTGACTTCCAAGTGAGTGAAAACTGCATTAAAAAATCGAAAATCGAGTACAACAACTATTGTTAACTTCATAATATAAACACAATAGGATTGATAATGAGTATATTTGAAAAAAGTGAAATTTGTGAGAAATTCGTAAAGAAATTAGATGAAGAAAAGGAAGTAACAAGTTACTGACTCACTATAAAGAGAGCGGGGCTTGCGGAAGTTCTAGAAATACATATGTTTATGAATTGTTTTGGTAGATAGTAGTTATTAGTTATTATGTTATGAGGTTTTTCAATTTGTCTTTTGTACTTATAGATACGCGCAAAGAAACAATGATAACAAATCACTTGTAATTGACTCATAATTGTTTCCTTCATACTTATTGTATCAAATTGTTATTATCAAAATTATTCATGCTAAGGCCCCTGGAATTCAGTTATTTTTGTTACAGCTTGATATGAAAGTAATACTTTGATATTTTTAAGCCAAATTACATATTTTTCGTTATCAAATAGATAGGCTTTGAAGTCATATCATCAAATACATACGCAACGCGTTTTAAAATGGTGGAATGTTTATACCCTGCAGCCGTAGGGTACAAAGGTTACACACGATTTTTGCAAAGTGTATAACAGGGAGAAGGCAGCATCTGCGACCCCATAAAGTACTTATATATAGACGTATATTCTTAATTAGCATGAGCAGACGAAACGATATAGCCATGCTTAATTAAATTAAATTTTAAAATTATTTAAAAGCACAAATTAATTATTATTATTAGTTGTAGCAGTTCATTTAGTTAAATTTATATAGGCTGGTCAATAATAAAAGAGATGCGAAGGGGAAAAATACTGGCACTTTTGAAAAAGGCAGTAACGGCTTTACCGTTCTCAGCCTACCCCAAGGTTTCTCTGAGTGTACATTCTCAGTGATGGAGCAAGCCATTATATTTTCCAATTCAATCAATTGACACAAAAGGGGGGAAAGGGGGCGCCGGTGGCAGCTACAAATGGCAACAAGCGGCAAGGTGCAAAGTGCAGACATTGCACTTTAGAAGCATGCAACAATCTAATTTAGCGCTGTGACTCACTCAAGTGATCGCCGGCGCCTAGGACTGAGCAGTGACTGGCACTGGCTTTCGATTCAAGGTGCGTGCGCTTCGTTCTCCAGTTGCGATTGCCACTTCGATGAACTCGTATTTGCATGGCTATGGCGATGGCAATGTTTCTGTTGTCAATTTCCCTCAACTTTGCTTCCGTTGGCACATAAAGCATACTTGTACAAATAAAGGCATATATGAGCATGTATATTATATAGTATGTGGACATGTCTGATAGCGCCAAGCGACATTAAATGTTGCACATTCGTCAAGCGAGCTATCATGCCTTCCGTCCCCCGCTCCCTCGCTTCCTCGCCCCCTTGGCCATTCACTTAATCCCTACGCATTCGTTTACTGATTATGCGTTTTATGTGACGACCATAAATATTCGCTGTCGTTGTTGTTGTAT